GCCGCGCACAGGGAGGCTCGACGGACACCTCCCCCCCGCTCCCCGCCTTCCTGAAGTCAGTTAAAACCCCTCCCCGCTGGAGGGAAGCGGCAGTTCCCGCCGCTGCGACTGGCTTGCAAGGGGCTAATTAACCTAATTACCCAACCTCATTAACAAGCTGCAGGTCAGCAAGTCGAGAGACATCACCCCTTCGCAGTCTGGAGCGTTTCCAACACCTCCAGGACCAGCCATCGCTCTGGGCCCTCGGCTCCATCCTCTCTCCCGCCTGTGAGGCTTTGCAGCAGCATGGCCTGACCTTGACCCCCACGTGCCCTGGCCCCGAAAGGGACACAGCCCCCCCCCGACACCCCACCTGATGAAACACCTCCAGCCCCCACACCACGCTCACCTGGCTTTCTCCCCCTGCAAGGTGTAACCTTTAGAAGCAACAGCTCAGGAAACGGGATCTAAGCTCAGCTGGGAAGAAAGGAGGAAAGACATAGAAGTGTCCTGGTTTTAGCTGGAATAAAACGGATGGAAGGTGGCAGCTGCGAGGTCTGGCTGATGGGGAAGAAGAAAGGAGATGAGAACAATCACTTGGTGCGGGGACTTCACTTTATTGCAAGGAAAATACAAAAGTCAGATAGCAGCACTGAAGGGACCGCAGCGTCCCCTGCTCGGGGGGAAGCACCGCATGTTGCCCCATGGAGGCTTCTCAAGCTGGAATTCAGAGGCTCTCACATTCCTTGTAAATCCTTGTAAAATCCTGGTAAAGCATCTCCTTGCCGTTGCACCAGAGAGGGAAGGCAGGCACAGGATTTACTCAAGAGGTTTGGGGTCCAGGCAGAAGCAGAGCCCCCAGCAGCTCCCACCAGACCTCTTCACTGGAGTCTCCTGGCTTGGGGACGTTCGTTTACAGCAGCACACCGGAATCCACCCGCGTTCCTGGCAGGAAGCCACCCAGTGCTCCAAGCGCCTGAGCACAGCCACGTGCAGAGATGAAACTCAACCTCCCAAGCGCCAGGTCCATGTGCAGAGGGGCAGGGGCCCAGGCACACGAGTGTGGTGCCAGGCTCCACCACCCTCCACGCCAAGGGCTCCGCAGAGCAGCACGGAGTGCCTCAGCCCCCACCCAGCCCTGCTCCTCCAGCCTCCGAGCCCTGCTTGTGCCCTGACCTCTGCCACTTGCTCCCTGTCCCCGACCCCCCATTAAACCCGACCTGCAGAACCCGCTGTTGTTCCCACTTTGGGCTTTTCTTTAGCTGCGACAGACTCTACGTTTGTATCTGTGACCTTGATGCAAAGAGTAATAATAACTGAAGTAACTTTGATGCAATAAACTGTTCAAATTCCTAAGAAATGGAGTCTGATGTGGTTTTGTGTGACAAACAAGCAATTCTGAAGAAGGAAGCATCTATGAGATGCTGCTAGCAACATCTTCAAACCACACAACATTCATTCATCAGCTAAACATCCAGAGGGGTGGACAGGCAGGACCCCCCTGGGCACCAGAAACAAGATGCCTAGAGGCAGACAGACACCTATTCCCTGCTCTGCTTCCCTTTATCATTAATACCCGCAAGCCCAGTGAGCCATTTTCTGACCTCCCTGCTCCTCTCCCCAGCGGTCAGGGAAGCAGCTCCTGTCAACACACTGAGAACAGATCACGGTTCCATTTCTCCCTTCTCCAAGAATGTACTCAGATGAGTCTGGGACCCTCTGGAGAGGGCAACACACTCCAGGAAAAGCGACATGCTTCGGAAGCTGGAGGAAAGGATGACAGGGGAAAAGAGAAGGAGCAAGCATTTTTACAAACTACCACTCAGAAGAGGTCAAAATAAAAGCAGCAGCTGGCAGTCATGTAAGAGGATGGTGCACACATGCCTGTGGGAAGGGCTCCCATACAGGAGTCAGAAATCACTGGCTTTTAGGATCTACAGAGAGTTTAAGAGCTCCCTCTGTCACACCCAGTCATTAGAGAGTGTTTCTGCCAGCCTGCAACCCGCCCCCCAACTCAGGCTGTCTGGGCAATACTGACTCCCTGCAGTCATACACTCACACCCATGAACTTCAACAGGGCAGAGAGCGAAGTTGACAAGACCACCGCATGGGCTGGGGTAAGCTTCTTCCTCCTGCATGACCACTGCTGGAGTCATTCAGCCTTCAGGGGAGATGATAAAGGTGTGATGATAAAGGTGTGATGATAATCCTTCACTGCAACCCTTCGTCTGCTAAAAGACAAGAGATGCTCCTGAACTTCCAGGCACAAACACCTGACAGGGAGGATGCGGAATGTCACCCAAAAGAAGTGGATGACAGCTCTGTAAACACAGGACTAGAATCTCACGTGCAGCTGGTTCTCCAGGGTCTGTCCCCAGCTTCCACAAGACAAGGTGTCGTAGAAGATCTGAAGATTTTATTTCAGTTTGGGCAATTCCCCCAAAGAATAATATATTCTACTTCAGCCACTATAGCAATTCCATCGTCCTCTTTTTTTTGTATTGAGCAAAGGTACCAAGATACCCGCAGGGCAAAACAGAACCCATTTCTCCGCATGACCAGAGTTCAAGGGCTGTTAAAACACATGCAAAGAGCTCAACTCTTCACCTTCACCATGAGCTTCAAGCGGACATCACACAAGAAAATGTTCATCAGGTCCTGGCCGGCCTCCTGAGCGATCCTGCTGATAACCATACCTCCTCTTCCAATCAGCATCATCTGTATTAAAACCCAGAGAGAAGATCATCGCACTCATCCTTACATCACTTAACTGCAGGGAGGAATCACCCAAGAAAAGAGCAGTGAAGCCACAGAAGCAATTAAAAGGGATATAGCAGTTAGAGAGTCACAGAATCATCTCGGTTGGAAAAGCCCTTGCAGCTCCTCCAGCCCAACCATGACCCTCACCCTGACCGTTCCCAACTCCCCCAGATCCCTCAGCGCTGGCTCAGCCCGACCCTTCAACCCCTCCAGGGATCCCAGGGACTCCCCCCCTGCCCTGGGCAGCCCATCCCAACATCCAACAGCCCCTTCTGCACAGAAATCCTTCCTCAGAGCCAGCCTGACCCTGCCCTGGGCAGCTTGAGGCCATTCCCTCTGGGCCTGGCGATGGCTCCTTGGCTCCAGAGACTCATCCCCCCTCTCTCTGCACCCTCCTGTCAGGGAGTTGCCGAGGGCCAGGAGGTCTCCCCTCAGCCTCCTCTTCTCCAGACTGAACCCCCCAGTTCCCCCAGCCACTCCCCAGCAGACCTGTGCTCCAGACCCTACACCAGCTCCGTTGCCCTTCTCTGGGCACACTCAAGTAAACCCCCAAAATCAAGCCACAGGCAACATCAGAAAGGGGTAAGCTGTTACCGAACAGCCTGTGGCTGTGGGGGGCAGCCCCAGGAGCCCTGGAGCTGAGCAGATCACAGCAAGGATGAACACAGCTGGACTTAGGGAACCCCCTTTCACACTCCCCAGCAGCCCATCTCTCTGCTGTTACTCACCATATGAGACTTCCTTGGGACCAGGAGGTTCTGTGCGATGAGGAGCTCCCCACTCGGTCCTTTCTCCCACATCTCCGTCACCTGCAACAGCAAAAACAAACTCAGCAGTTCTGCAGAGAGCCTCAGGAGCAGCAACCACCACTCCCTCAAGAGACACCAGCTCAGCTCCCCGATACGAGCACGCAAGGGTGGCCCCCTCCCTTCAAACACAAAAAACATCTCACAGCACCTGATGTGCGAGTCCCAAGTCACCCCACGGGGCCTGTAAAGGGTCTGGCAGATTTCACAGATTCAAACAAAGGGATTCTCATCACATAACCTGGTATTTCCAATAAAATACCTCAAAGGCAAGTCTGTTCGTGCATGCTTCCCACCTGAATCACGCCGTAGGGCACTTCCAGTGGCAGGTACTCCAGTATCTTCTCCCTGATGATATTATTACAGATCTCCTGAGGTGACTGGCTGGTCAAGACCCCACTGTGAAACTCCCAAGGGCCTGGCTTGGCTCGCATCAAGAGGTACCGCTGTCAGCACAAAGCACACACCCATCAGCTGCCTCATGCCACCAACCTCTGTGCTCACCTTGCACCGAGTCACTACGAGGATGCTGCTGCCAGTCAGGCATCAGTAGTTCAGCATCTTTGGCAGGGAAAGGAGAAAGAAGTTTCTAAAACTCACACCCTGCCAAAGGGTCACACCTCCCTAGAGCTGTTTGTATGAGCTACAAAACCCCACACTATCCCTTGTAGCTGAAAGACAATGCGCTGCGTGGTTTCATTATTATGACCAAGCTGCTGTTTGGAGAGCCCCAAATGAGAGTTCTGCACAGAAAACTCCAGAGGTACAGTATAGACATGCTCCACGTTGACAGACAACACTTCCCCCACATCCCAGGCCAACAGCAGCTCTGCTACTTCTTCACAGGAAATGAAATTCAGTATCAAGTACCAGGGTCCCACAGAGTAAGAGCACCCTGGTGTCAAAGTGTAACAAAAGTTCAGACTGCGGTTACCTTAAGCACATCCACCTCCTCCCCATGGAGAGCTGACAGCATGAAGATCTCCTGGAAGCATGGCCAGCCTTTCATATTTTTTAGATCTCTGGGTTCATAGAGCTCTGGCCCTTGTGCTTCTTCTGTGACAAGACTGGACTCAGAAGCCCTCATATTACTGCTGTTGTCCTCGCTAGAGCCTTTTTGGGCTCCATCTGTTTCCTGCAGACAGTGAGACTTGGGGTCCCTATTCTCAGGTGGAGAAGCCTGAGTGATTTTAAGAGGAGACTTTGCTGAAGAACTTGAATTATCTTTTAATGCATACTTCACTTCCAATTTCTTTCCATTTACAATTCCCTCCGTTAGCTCAGTTACTAGTTCCAGCAAGATAAACTTCTTCTTTAGCAGATCCACCTGAAGTGAGAGAAAGAGGGGTCAGGAATTTGTCCTAAATGAGTTTGGTAGCTGGGCCCTGGATCTGAAGGAGCCAGAAGAAACCACCCAGGGGAGGCAGCTGCTGCCAGGACAAGGCTTTTACAACAGCAGCACCAGACAGATTTCTGACCAGGGCGTGTTAACAGTCCCAGCACAGTTTGTCCAAACACGGTCAAGTTGACAGCAACACTTTCTGTCAGCTCTGCTGAGATTTTAGCTGGCCAACCCCACCGTGGTGCCAGCTCCTCTTCTCAGACTGATTTACCTTGTTCAAAACCAGGATGCTGGGGATCTGGGAAAACCGAGAAAGACACTTCAGCACCTCCCTGCTCAAAGAGTTTCGCGTCCAGTGATCTGACACGTCCACCAAAACCAGAACTGCCAGAAAACAGTGAAGGAAATATGCAGGTTCATCATTTTCCAAAATGTTAATTTTCAGCTTCTCTAGAGTCTATGGTCACTTCTCTCCTGATGCTACTTCTTTCTCTTCTGCAGAAGAGCACACCGATGGAACCAAAAAGGAGCATTTTAACTGATAAAACAATAAAACACTGTTTACACCTCTCATCCTAATGACATCACACATGCTAAAACGTAACATCCAAGCCTAATTATTAACCCAAGCCACCTCCCCTCAGAACCCGACAATTCTTAACCTCTTCTCAGCTCAATATTTACATTTTCTCCACCACCCTTTCCCTCCAAGGGCTGCCTTTGCTGTCCAGTAAACATTCAGATACCACAGTTATAGGGCTGTAAACTTCTGCAGCACATAAAGGGTTTGGCTTGATCCAAGAGGAGTTGAGTACCCACCTAAATCTGCATGTTTCACGCTGTCCCATGGGTCTGTCAGCATGGCTTCATCTAATTTATGTCTGAAAGACAAATGCAAATGAGTAAGCCAGTCACACTTGATCACAATCATCTTCCTTCCCCCTCAGATCTGGGGAAAAACAGTGTTTTCCATCATCCTAACATACAGCTTCCTTAGAGGCTGTGGCATCCCTCATTACACGCACATACACAGAGACAAACATACCATGGCTCAAGGGATACCACAGGCTCTGTGTGCTACTGAAACTGCAACGGTAAATAACTCATATGCCAAAATAAATCTAAAAACATACATTCTTGTCAATCCTACCTTATAAACTATGCACAGTGGAAATCACTCTGGTTTTATCAAACTTTGACAGACAGGACCCCTCCCAGCTCTCCCCACAGAGTGCAGTAATACCTTTTGACTTTAAATGGATTAGTGAGTCCAGGTGTGTCCAAAATGATCTAGAAAAAGGAAGGGCAAATCTTGTAAGTTTGCCTGCAGTTAGTGGCTAAGCTAAAACTTCTATTTGTGCAATCAGAAGTGACCCTATGGATACAAAGGGGAAACCCCACCACGTTCTGGCTAATGCTCCTCACTGCCCCAGGCAGGAGCAGGCCTGAAAGCTCACCAGCTGCGTGTCCTCATCTGTGACAACACCCTGGGCTTTGCATCGCGTTGTGTGCACTTTCTTAGAAACTGGGAAAACCTGTGAGAAATTAAATACGTTACACAGTCAGAATACATCAAAAAGCAATTTAACAGCTTGAACTTGTTGCTCCACTCCCGTTTTACCTTTCTGCCCAAGAGCCGATTAGAGAGTGTGGACTTCCCAGCGTTGGGTGCTCCGATGATGGCAATTCTTAAAACCTTGGGGTTCTGGGGCTGGTTGGGCTGATTCCGTAACAGGCAGTCTTGTTCCTCTACCAGAGGAAAGAAGGAATCTGAACGCTGCTAAAACCCCACAGTGGATCAGGATGATCCACCTCAGTGCTAGGACCAGGCAGCAGCTGGTACCACTCACTTTTGCTGGTGGCAACAGGTGGCGGGTGCCGGCCCAGCGCGTCACTCGGCTTCTCGGCAGGGATGCCCAGGATGCTGCTCAGCGCAGAGCTGCTCCCGCTCCAGCGGGCAGGGAGCACGGCAGCCCGCGGGGCGCAGCCCTCCGGGAGTCGGGCGGGAAGACGAGCAGCACCAAACACTGCGGGTACCGAAAACGTCCCAAAATCGTGTCGCCCCCTTCCTCCCCACGCTGCGGCGCGGGGAAGCGCTCCCCCCTCACCCGACACCTCTAGGCC